GTATTTGGGACAAGCTGAAAAGTGCTTGTGCATAATGCTTCTCAAAACTGTATTGGGAGACACTGGTGCACCCAGAGCCGCAAAAGTCATTTACTAGCCAGATTTTAAACTTAGCTACAAATTTTAAATCTTAACTACATGTGAGAAAAACCTATTACAATTACTTTCTGCAGCAAACTGTTAAAAGAAATCCATGCACATACTACTCTAGAATATTTATTCAATAAAATCAGCCATTACACTGAAAAATTTTAAGTATGAAAAAAGCCATACACTGCAATTTGCCAAGTAGCATGCCAGTAACTCATATTAATGTAACTCTGACAATATTCTCCAAGCTTCATTTGGAGATCCCCTCTAACATCATACCTAATATTTAGTGCTGGTCAATGTTTATCTCGAAACTCATCTTCATAGAACCCCTCCATTTCACAAATCACGGCTGAGGCAGAGGCTCCTGGTCAAGAGAGCCCACAACCCCCATAAATCCCATGGCGGCTGGAGCTGCTCAACATTTTCAGCTAGTTATTACACAGACCTACAGCGCTGTCGCAGCAGAGGCAGAAATGGGATGCAGAGACCTTAGATCCTCTTGTTTATAGCCAGGATCCTAAACCCACCACAAAACAAAATGAAACAACAACAACAGAATACTGCAAATAAGCCCTTTTCATCTCCTACAGACATATACTAAAGAGATATACTAAAGAGATTGGTGTTATGGGATGCAGTGCAACACTCCAATCAGCAGACCAAGACTGTTTTATCTCTGTTTAGCAAGCCATGGCTCAGCAGTGGTTTTTAGCCTTAAGTAGCACATCCTCTACAATGTGGGGCAACTCTGCCACCACCATTAAACACTGTGCAGTAGAATCCCCAACATATCGGTTAAGTTTAACCTGCTAACTAGCTATTACTGTCTTTTTTATCTTAGCTTTTTATAATGCATTCGCTATTTTCTTAATAGGCATTTTTCTTAGTGTACACATTTTAACAAACTCACCACTAGATAAACCAGATACTGATTCCACATCCATCTGAACAGTATGCTCACATATATCAACAGTAGGATGATTAATCCAAACTAAAATTTTTTTACCCTATAAAATATCAAGGGCAGACATACCCAGATAAGGCAAGACACAGGCTTTTTTCTTGTAAATTGTCAAATGTAGTCAGATGCCATAAGCATGAATTAGCACACACAGATATCTCAAACTGCTGTTCGGTTGTTTTTCAAACAGATAAGGAGGGGAAAAAAATAAAATATTTCATTGATGCTGGAATTAATGCTGTATTGCAAAATACAGGGAGTCAGCTGCCAAAAATTAATACAAAACATAATATTTAATGGATATTAGCTATGTTTCCCTGAAAAGATTCAAGCGCTTTGCTTTTTATGGCAGTTAAAGCAAAGACTATTGTGGTAAAATCAATCTCTTCCAAAACTGGACAGTTCAGGTACAAGTAAGTGTAACTGCTGAAGATAAACAGTTGGGCCAGCAACCTTCAGCCACACTTTCCCCTCCAACAACCTTCTCCAACAGCCTTCGCTTCCTTCCCTCCAAGGAAACCCTTGGCGAAGGCCAGTTCTTGGAGGCAGAGCACAGCCAGAGGAAGCTGGAAAGCTCAAAGGCCCTCGAGTTTCGCAGACTCCGCGGCTCTGGCCACTGCGAGGCACTTCTGGCTACACTTGGAGATGGGATGGAGGGCCAAGCCAGACTGCTGTGGCCCCCAAAGTAAGGAAACACACAGATGGGTCTACTTAGAGCAGCTCTAGCAACCACTGACACGCAAGGTCTTGTTCTCCCTAGATTCTTCTCTTTTTAATTGAGAACCATGTCAAATTTAGGTTGTGAACTGATTTACTAGCTACTCCCGTCAGTAATTAGCTATCAAGAACCAATAAATTTGCAGCAGAACTTTATATTTTGCCAAAAAATGGATTTTTTTTTTCTGGACTCATACACAATAAGCACAGGGTACTTGTTCTGGGTCATTTTGTTATGGAAAAATAATAATAAAAAGATCTAGCTGCAGTCAGTGGGACCATAGCATACTATACAATAGGAGTGAAGATAGTGAAATTCTGTGAAAAGTGAACAGCCCTTGAATAAATAGCAGAAACGAAGGACTGAAGCTTACCAGCATTTGGTAGGAAAGCTACAAGCACTATCCCCTTGTTGACAGTTTTCAGAAGAAGAAAAGAATACTCCAATATACCCAGGGTTAAAGAAAGAGGAAAAAAAGAAACACTAACAATTAAAATGAGGATGAAAATACAGAAATTTACTCTCTCTACTTCAGGCACACAGTATGCTTTTCGCAATACCTTCATATTCTTTTCATCCTTTACTCCTCACCAACAGTCAAAGTTTTGTCTACCCTGCAAAACTAAATCACTGACGACAAATGGGCACGGCCAAATACGATTTTCTTTGTCCACACTTGTAACTAGAGACCTACTCTGCTCCAGTTCAGCTACACCCTTTGTTGTCAACAACTGTCAACAGCATTTCAATTTAGTGCACTAAAGAGAGCCCAAACAATTTGGAAGGAATGATTTGAGCTGAGCGGGTCCCACCCGGCTACTCCAGAACACACACGCAGAACAACCCTTGCAAGAAAAACATTTAAAAATTCTTATGAAAATGAACAGTAAAAACCCACCAGATCTGGCAGAGGGATTCAAAGCATCTGAAGTTACTTAAGTGCTGTGACAAAAAAATAGGGGAGGACTTGACCAGTTGCCCAAGTTACAGATGCATCCACTTTTCCTTCACTTTGTTATGGAGAAGACAGTGATCAAGACGTCAGTGATAACATCAACAAAATATCGTAGTATTTTTTTTTTTAATGAAAAAATGTTAGCTTTGTGAACTGGAAGAAAACATCACCATCACTGACTGGAATGGTAATCTGCCACAGGTCCAAGAGAAAGCAAATCCAATTAATTAAGGTTGCATTTTTATAGAAAACCGATCGTAGACTCCACCATGACTTCAAATCAAGCTGATATTCACTCTCACACTTTAACAGCCAAAAGAATTACAATGTGCTTGGATTAATGCAGTACACTGTCATTAGGCTGGCAATTAAATCCCTTTTCTGAGATTGTGTGATCTGAGTCACTACCATCTGCAACCATCTTTACATCTTGTGCAATAGCTGGCCTCGGAGCTTGATACACCAAAGGAAAAGGGGGTTGTCTTTTAATGGCTCCCATGTTACTTGGGAGTTACCATTTTATGGTGATGGCAGTTTCTCAAAACAGTCCATGTATCAAATTTATTATCTAGTTTGTCAGGTGGGATTTCTTAACTCTAAGCCAGTATAACAAATCAAGGTCGCTCTTTATAGAGCGTGAGTAAAAATTAACCGCCTGTTCAATTTTTTTTCTTTTGACATTGAAAGGTATTTAATCTCAGACTATTGACAAATGCAACATTCACTGGTTCTTCAAAGCACCTGTGAACACCTAAAAAAACTCTCTGAAATACCATCTCCTCTGGCATCAGTCCATCTTGACTTTAACAAACTGTTAGCCATTCTATTGCTTACAAGATCACTAGTTACACACGTATGAGAAAGTAACAGGTTGAACATCCTCAGAATTTACTTCTTCCCCATGAGTACCCCCAACTAAATAGTCAGATCAGTGATTTTCAAATGATCGCCCAGTGGTAAGAACATAGTCCCTCCAGTCCACATTAAAATGTAGACAAAGGGATTCTCCCACTGACCATCTACTAGCTAGGCAGCAGCACAAGGAGAAAAACACAGTGAAGAAATTATGGAAACCTTTCTCTCATAGGATTTGTCTCAAGTTCTCTGTGTCTGATTAGTAAAGTCAAAGTACTTCATAGTAGCCCTGGCAGATCTCTAAAAATGAATCAGGACTACAATATAGCCACAAAATGGGAAGAAACAATCCTGTAAGATGCCTCTGGGGGATTACGCTTGTCTTTCAGAGTGATAAATCACAAGTATAATCTAAAGTGTTCAGAAAGTCACAACTCAAATAACCCAAATTCAGGCCCTAATTGTATATACACTCAATGAAGAGCTTAATTTTCCAACTGTGTAGTTGGAATGACTACTAAACAACACACCTTTGTATTTGACTATCACTTTATATTTGGTTTTAAGAGAAGAAAAATTCAATTCCTCCTCTCACCTGCTCTGTTTAGTTACTATCTTCCTCACTATGTGGGGAACTATCCAACCATCTCTTGGACTACGATCAGTCCCAGATCCTTTTTCCCAACTGGCATTTTCACCCCTGCTTGTGCTTCTTGTTTCTGATGATGACACCTTCTCTTCTCTGCTTCTCCCATAAGGCATATGTAATAAGGATTTGCTTGCTGTTTGCTTCCAGTTGTTACTACAGACATTCAGCCTCTCCTGTGGTCTATAATATGATATTTTGTGTCCTGATATGGGCCGAGTTTAAATCCTGTAGGTCTTTTAGAAGAAATGGAAAGCAGAAGTTGCATGGTCAGAGAAGAGCAGCTTGCTGTGAGCTCAGAAACAAGGACAGAGCTCCACAAATGCATTGAAGCAAGAAAGAAACACTACCTTCCCCAACTATAAAGGTTACTACTTATTTCCTTGAATTAGAGCTGATGCTCTAATGATGCAGAACAAAATGTTAAGCATTTAAACAGACATCTTTTATTTCTTTAATAGTTACTTATGGTACTGAAGAGGTACTGAGATACTAGAGGAGCACACAGTGTTTAGAGCCGGGAACCAGAGATAACCAATAAATAACCAATAAATATACCGTGTAAGGGTAACCACCTTGAAAGCCAGGAAGCACCTCTGCTTGAAATGCACATACCCAGATTCTCTATGGGGTTTGCTTTTGAGCAGAGGGCTACAGGTGACCCAAGGCCATCTACATCAAGCATCAGTTCATTCATTCATTAGCTCAGGACAGACACAGTGCGGCCCTTGAGCCCTTTCCCACCAGAAGTCACCCTCTCCACGGGCAGTACCTCCTTGATACGCTTCACTAAGGCGTTCTGGTCGAAGGCTACTGCTTCTGCACACTGGTGGAGATGGTCTTGGTAGCGGAGACAGAGCTGCAGCACCTGCTGGGGGTCCAGCTTCTCCAGTTTGGCATTGGTCGGAGATGTCTGCCCACTGAGGAGTCCTGTAAGGCGCGAGAAGCAAAGAAGTTAACCTAACTGCTTGCATCACTAAACAGTTCGATTGCAAAATGAGAGGCAGTAGAACAAATCCAGGAGAAAAGCTTTCAAAGAGGTCACGAAAAATTAATTCAGGATCAAGGACTACTGAATGGACTTAAGCAGTATAATAGCCCAATGAAGCAGAGCGCAGGGAAGAGCAGGTATTGCAGATTTAGGGATATTTTGGACTCACAGAAGCAGTGCAAACAACACTTTGCAATGCAGCTCAGCCCTCTTTTACAGAACTTAAACATAGGTCCTAAAAGCAGTGCTATAATGCACAAGGGACTGGTTTTCAGTGACATGGTGCATAACCCATGCTCCTGTTCATGTTCTGTTTCTTCTCTTCACAAGCTATTCTAAACTCTTAAAAATTAAGCCTCTCCTCATTTAAATACTCATCAAATGAGAAAGGTGCCAAGTTCTCAATTTCCCAAGGGCATGGAAATTGTACTATTTTTTACTAGAATCATTCAGTTACATCCACAGTTTTTAAAAAATCATTAAAAACACTCTGGTACCCTAAAAGAAAGTTGAATAAGAAACGATATGTTAAAGAAAAATATAGGGTAAAGCATCCATGCTTTCCCTGCCTTGCATTTTTTTGAGACTTGAGAACACTTTCATATTTTAAGATTTTTCTGTATAACCCCAAAGACTAAGAATGTATATTTCTTTAAATGAAGAATGTTACCTACTCACATGATTTCAGGCTTTACAAAGCCACACACCCAAAGGTCTACGACTTAAAATTGTGACATTGGCAACATCCAAAGGAGCAAATGGCAAAACTGTCCAGAGAAATTTCTTCTGACCATTCTCTGTCACTTGCGTAGTGCAACTTGAGAGCCTAACTCAGCTAAACTCTATGTATGTCATTCTGTCAATTTTCCCTGAAGTGATTTTTTCCCAAAAAAAGTGATGCTAAATGCTAAGGCTTTTATGTTATTTTCATTTATTTATTTTCATTCTGTTTTCCTTCAGCATTAGAAGACCTTTTTTCCTGGGATATGAGCTGTGACAAACAGCATATATTTACAATTTTCTTTTTCAAAAACATCCATCCAGCTTTAAAAACCGAGTTTCATGACTGCATGCATGAGCCTTTGGGGATCTCAGTTTACTGACAGGAAAATTCATTAAAGAGCAAACGTAAGCCAGCATTGCACTAAGCAATTAAAAAAAAGTATTAAATGTGAGGCATTTGGGCTGGAAAAGTACTTCTAAGAATGCACCTCTCCGGGAAATGGAAACTATTTTGGATGCCCCCATGCCTATTGGAAGCTACAAACAAACTGTGAATTTGCTTGCCAAGGGACCCGTGAACAAGATTGAAACCAAAACTTAGATTCACAGTTATCTCAATTCGAGAAGGTTACATCCTACAAAAAGATTCACAAATAGCAATGACAACAAAACCAGGACAATGTCAATCTGATCCAGTCAGCTAGGTTTGCTTTGAATCAGCTCAACACTATTTTCTCAAGCTGCGCTCAGCTTCCCAATGCAAAATAAAATCCTTCTTTCCTCACACCGAAAGAAAAAAGTCTTCTTGGCTGACTTGTTGCCACTCCAGGGCCTTCCCTGAGCCAAAAGGCTGGGGGAGAAACGGGACAATTTCCTAGGTGGTCTCCAAACCCCATGCTGACAACAGCCCCCCTACCTTTACGTTCCAGAAAGAATCACCACAAGCAAAATCCTGGGTCCAGCAATATCAGTTGCAAGTCTCTCAAGCCCCTTTTCAGCTGCAGTAGAAAACTTCAGTGGCAACAATCCCACTGAAGGAAATAATCTCATATATGTGTGTATGTGTATACATACACATATATATATATACACACACACACACTATATATATATTATATATATATATATATATATACACACACACACACACACACACACCCCTTACATGCTCCAGGGCTTCCTCAGTTTGATAAATAAACTCCTTGCAGATGGACTTGCTGCTGCTACTTGTCCAGATTAATATAAGTAACGTTGTCAACTTTTAATATGCTGGATGTTCACGCAAGCAGTAGGAGTTCACCATACACCTGAGGCTGTCATACTGTTTCTGCTCAGATCAAATACATCATACAACAAAACCACTAATTTTCTTTTATTATTAATCTCTCGCCAACTTTCTCCAAAAGGAGAAAGACGTTGGAAACTATTTAGGAGACTTTTAATTAAGACTAAGTGTGTATTTAGGCTAATTTATGCCACGTAAGAATTTGGAAACTAAATAGGGCAACAACTGTAAGAAGAGCTATAAATAAGTATGTCACTCAGAATTATATTATGTACTTAAAGCATTGGGCGGGTTACATAAAACTAAAAGCAAAGCTAGAGTGGAAAGAGCGTGTGATTCACAATGCAGAAAAACATGAGCTCAGGTGAAAGAGGGGAGACAGAAACTGGAATTTCCTTGCAGGAAGTCAGGGGCTGAAATACAATCCAGGAAGAATGATTGAGTGATGCAGTGGGAGGAGTCAAAGGAATTAGCTCAGGCTCAAAAGGCTCAATGTGACAATGCTAGGAGAAAATGTTTCTTAGAATTGCCATCTATAGGAAAGGAAAAATTAAATGAAGCAATAGCAGGAAAAAGAACATGCAGCCTTTTACCTGGCCATTAGAAATTCCCCTCATCAACAAATCCATCCCTTCTTCTTTGTTTGTACACAGCAATTACCTTGCTACATACTGTAAATATGAACATTAATACACTGCATTTTACTTGTTAGCAAATCAGTAGCATCGGTACAAAAAGAGCATGTGGCAATTGAAGGTCATCTTGAGCCTTAATGGAAGAGAGGCTTTGAACACGCTAATTCTAGAGGGATTTTCCTGAGGGAGGACTGGAAGTCAGGCCTGAGATAGGCCAGACATAAAGGGCCCACCATGGTGTGAACTCCAGCTCTGCTGCCTCCCCTCTCTGGGCAGCTGCGGGCTGTAAGCCCACGTGGTTTAACACAAAACCTGCTCCACAAGCACCCACACTCCAGAGACACCAGGGCACTTCTTGTCATCCCATGGGCAACTGGAGGCCCAAAGGAAAAGACTAAAACCAAAAAAGAACAAGAGATCAAAATGGGTACTGCTGGTGTCCTATGTCCTCATACTAACGGGCAGTTAAGGAGATCATCAAAAAGCCTCCAGCAATTCAGTGTTGAGAAAGTTTCATTTTTAGAGAAAAGGGATACCCATCATTCACAGTGATGGCTATCATTTAACATCTCTCCTCCTGAAAATCACTACTTGCTTCTTAAAGTCTTGTCCCAGCCTTTGAACTCCTCAGTAAGCAGGGCCATCCTGAGTCCCGGGTCTACATGCAATTTGCAGGAGGATATGAGATCACATCTGTTGAAAGACTGACTTCATATTTATCTTGTTGCAAGAGCCAGGAAGGGGGGAGAGAGGGGTGGGGAAAGAGAGAGTGGTCTGAGTGTTTCAGGGTTACTCCTCAATCTGCCAGAACTTGACACTGGCCACCAGCACATCTCAAGGGCACACTAACCCCTCAGCTACTATCTCTTCGCTAAGGAAAGGGCATTCCCCTGATTTCAGCTATATCCTTATTACATTTGCTTCTTCTTAAAAAGCACGGTTTCGGTCTCAAAAAGGAAGAAAACAGAACCGAAAGCTTCCAATCTCTTATTAAATGGAATATTCATTTTCCAAGCTGTTGACTCTCTTCCAAACAAGACAGATGACATTACATGCCTTCATGAGCAGGAGAAATGAGGAACTCACATTTACTTTGGGTACATCAATAAGCAGCTTACTCATGAAGGTGCTAATCAGCAACTGGGACAAACAGACAAGGATTCACGTTTCATCTCCTAAAGGGTAGTTACCAGTATGTCATGCATAGAGAACTATCATATATCACTACAAGGCTAGCTGACCCACAGCCTGAACAAATCTGTTATTGTTTCCATATTCCTTGGCAGAGCAGAGGCATGTTATAACCATTTTCCTCTTAGTCATCTCCTTGCTGGTTCCAGGTCAATGTACACTTCCAACAAATCACATCCTACCAAGCAGAAGAAAGCTGATAGTTTAGAAAGCATTTTTACGACCACAAGGAAAGCTTTTTGAAAAAAATGCTATATTAATTTACATGCTCTACTGATACTGCATACAGAGGAACCAACCGTGGTCATATTCAACTGTTTTAATAGATAATCCTGACAAGAACGGGTGCACTTTCCTACTTGAAAAGCATGAACATTCAGTTTTGGCTTACGTATTTTCACTTTTCAAAACCCTTTTCCAGCAGTAACACAAGACATTACAGAAAGAAAACCAAAAGGTCCACTGTTGTTAATTTACAGATTGCAGATAGCAAAGCACATGCTGGTGTGGACTTGTTATTTCTTTTAAGGCCAGAAAGAAAAGCTGTCATCAACAAACCATCACTGTGGTGGAATACAAGAAAAAGGACTTGAAAAGTGACTCTCATTTAAGCAGACCAGAAGCCAACTTGCCCAGGCTACTGCTTCCAGTATTCGACAAGAGTGCACAGTTAGAGAAGAATGCCTTTTCCAGTGCTTCCTCCCCTACAGCATTTTTTCTGTTTCCAAAAATTATTTAAAATTTCAGAGGCAAAATACTGTGCTCAGTAGGTACCAACGGAGGTATGATACTTGAATTTCAGTAATCTCTTCTTAAAAGTATGCTTTTATCTCCACAGTATACTGTGGCAACAAGCAATAATGCTTAATTTTGCATACGGTGATAAATATTCCAGTTGTTTCTATAATATTTATCTGTTTGCTGGACCTACCAACGGGTAACACTCTTTTTCAAGGGCTTGCTTCTATGATATTTATCTGTTTGCTGGACCTACCAACGGGTAACACTCTTTTTCAAGGGCTTGCTTTTTAAGGCATTGCACTTGCATCACCTTTTCTCCTGAGAGCAAGCCAAAATGAAGCAACAGATTATAAACCGTGATTAG